AGACCTGGCTGGTGCTGGGGGAGGTGGGTGATGGAGCCTTCGGCAAGGTCTTTAAGGTAGGAGAACACCCCAACGCCTCCCCCTGCCCCAAACCCCTCCTGGGGCCTTGAGAGGGTTGCAAATGCTTTTTCGTGCAGCTTCCGTGTGCAAGAAGCCAAAAAGCCTCTAAACAGCCCCAAATGTCCAACAGCGGGTGGCAGGGTCCGTGCGCATCATCTCTGGTCCCCATCCCTGTCCCTTGGCACGGGGACAGCCACCAGCTTGGGAGCTGGACCCTTTGCTGGGGGTGGTGGAAGCCTCGGTTGGGGTGAGGGGGTTGAGGTGGGATGTTCTAACCCGAAACCACAGCGAGGAGCCCGGGTGCAGCAGGAAACCCAACGTCAGGCGCCTTCCGGCACCGGTGGCACCGTGATGGTCCTGCTCCTGTGGAGCCTGTCCCAACCTCGTCACAGAACTGCCTCAGATCCACCCTGGATCTGCCCTGTTTCGGTCTGAACCCATCACCCCTTGTCCTGTCGCTGTAGTCCCTGATGAAGAGTCCATACAGCATCCATACAAGCAGGATGCTCCATGTTCTGGGACCCACATGCAGGGTGCTATGGCCACGTCTGGACCACATGTGTATCACCCAGGGGGTGACCGCGCATCACTCTTCATCCCATCCCTGGTGACAGTGGGGTCCCCATCCCTGTCCTGGCCGTGGTGCCACCAGCACCAGGGTGGGATGTGGTGGGTCCAAGCTTCCCCCTCACCACAAACCATGGGGCTGCTCCTTTGGTACCCCCATCAAACCTCCCCCCCAGGCACAGAACAGGGTGACGGGGGTGCTGGCAGCCGCCAAGGTCATTGATGCCCCGAGTGAGGAGGAGCTGGAGGACCATGTGGTGGAGATCGAGATCTTGGCCTGTTGTGACCACCCCAACATCACCAAGCTGCTGGATGCTTTCTACTGGGATGGGCGGCTCTGGGTGAGTGGGGGTCCCACCATCCAGGGCAGGAACCAGGGTCTCACCATCACGGCATGGAGCAGGGTCCCACCAGCATCTCAGGGCTGGGGGTCTTGGGCTGGAGGAGACACACTTGCAGACCAGGGTGGGGAACTTCTCCTTGCAGATCCTGGTGGAGTTTTGTCCCGGAGGGGCCGTGGATGCAGCGATTTTGGGTAACAACATCCCCCCACACACACTTTTTAGTGGTTGGAACATGGCCATTGCGGGATTTGGGAAGGGATGGCCAAATTCCACGGTGTGGAAGTGACTCCCAGTGTTGTGCAGCATCTCCATCAGGGTTGGGATGTACCTTCCACTGGGTACCCCTGGGTTTGGGGCCTCGTTGGCAGTGGGGTTCCTTGGTGCTGGTGGCAGGGCTGGAGAAGGGGCTGAGCGAGGAGCAGATCCGAGGTGCCTGCAGGCAGCTCCTGCTGGCGCTGCAGTACCTGCACGGCTGCAGCATCATCCACAGGGACATCAAGGCTGGCAACATCTTGCTCACCCTCGATGGGGACATCAAGCTGGGTGAGTCCCGGGGGTCCCGAGGGGCAGAGGGATGCTCCAGGGATCGTCTCCAACCTCTGCTTCCTGCTCTGCAGCTGATTTTGGGGTTTCGGCCAAGAACTCCAGCACCGTCCAGCGGCGCGTGTCCTTCATCGGCACCCCTTACTGGTAGGTGTGGGGCGGGAATGCACAGGGATGCTGGGATGAGCCCAGGGAATGCTCCCCAATGGCTCTTCAACACCAGAAACATCTCAAGGAATTGGATTAGAATCATGGAATGAACCAGGTTGGAAAAGAGCTTTAAGATGAGTCCAAGAGGATTGTTCCTCTTGCAGCCAATGACGGGCTTCTCGGTAGCATGAGGCTATTGCATGGAGAGGACACTTGGGGTGCTGGGGGGTTCAAGGCCTCCTGGGGTAGTGTTGGAAGAGTTGGGGTTGAATCTCGGCTCTTCTCTCTGGAGGGTTGTCTCTTGAGGGGTTGTGACCTGGGTTTGGTTTCAGGAGGAGACACCAGCCCGGGGCAAGTGGAACATCTCCCCCTCTGTCCCATGCACAGGATGGCCCCAGAGGTGGTGCAGTGCGAGATGTCCAAGGAGAGCCCCTACGGCTACAAGGCTGACATCTGGTCACTGGGCATCACCCTGATCGAGATGGCCGAGATGGAGCCCCCCTACCATGAGCTGAACCCCCTCCGGGTGCTGCTGAAGATCACCAAGTCCCAGCCACCCACCTTGAGGCACCCCAAGAGGTGGTGAGTTCCCATGTGGAGACATCACCCAACATAGGTGACAACAGGAGATGTCACCTTAACGTGGGTGACAATGGGAGATGCTGTCCTATGGGCAGCTTCTGCTTGAACCCATGTCTGGGCGGCTGGGGTGGCCTCTTGGACCATAAGTGATGCTGGTTGTGACTCCTCCAAGCCCAGCCCCAGGGGTACCACAAGTCTCCCATCTCAGCACCTTTGCCCACAGAAGGTGATGCTGGTGGGCAGTGGAGTGCCACAGTGCGAGCAGAGCCTGGGTGTCCTTAGCATCACCCCAAGGTCTATGGGGTCCACAGTGGGGTGACAGGGACCATCCCACAGGTCTGAAGACTTCAAGGACTTCCTGAGGAGATCCCTGGAGAAGAGACCTGAGGAGCGGTGGTCGGCCACCCAGCTCCTGCAGGTGGGCAGCACCCATTGCTATGTGCCCCGGGTGGTGGGACCCATCCCCGGTGCTGGTCCCAGTCACCTCCGTTGCTCCCACCCAGCACCCCTTTGTGGTGGGCATCTCCGACAAGCGGCCGCTCCGGGAGCTGGTGGCCAAGGCCAGGGCTGATGTGCTGGAGGAGGAGGATGAGGAGGAAGGTCTGGTCCTCTCGGTGTGTGAGTAGCACCTGGCTGGGTGCGAGATTCCCCCCCAACCCTTCCCATGAGCTCAGTGGGTCTCATCTCTTTCCCCATTGTCCACCCCACAGCCTGGGGGGCAGGAGCATGGAGAGTCCTCCTGCCCCCCATCACCTGAAGGTCCATTGGATGTGGTGGGTTTTTTTGAGCCAGTGAGGAGCTGAGTGTCTCGTCTGACGTCCAGCTGGTGGCAGAGCCCAGGACCAGGAAATCGTTGGACTTCTTGAAGCAGAGGAGAAGGTCCCCACCGGAGCCCAGGCTCTCCATGAGGCTCCCCAAGAGACCACCCGAGTTCCTGAAGCTGCTGCGGCGCAGGTCGTTCTTTGGAGGGATGAAGTCCCAGGAAGCAGTTAAGGATCAGCCGGGGCCAGAGCTGGGTGTGATGGAGATGACGCCACTGGATGCTCCTCGAGGGACATCGGTCCCAGCAGAGGCTGGAGGAGAAGCTCCAGGGTGTGAAGAGGAGGAGACCAGCCCTCCGGGGACTCCCTGCGATGTGACTGAGATGCCCTCAGGGCCACAGCGGGCAGGAGACCTTGTGGGGCTGCAAGAGCAGAAGACAGAGCCCCAGGAGGAAACCCAACGTGCTGACGCACCACCGGTGACCAAAGTGCCCATGGAGCAGTGGCTCGAAGCCCAACCAAGTCCCGCTTCCATCCCCAAAAGGAATAGAGAAGAGGAGTTGAGCAGAGACCCCACTTGTACCTCGTTGGCCCAACCTGCACCCATCTATGGGCGCTGGGGCAGAGCATCAGCCGTGGGGCAGCTGGTGGCAGCCCTGGACTTGGGGACCACAGGGACCAAGCCCCAGAGCTTCACGTCACTGGCAGAGCAGCAGCACCAGGTTACTCGGTTGTTGCAAGACCTGAAGCCCATCGCTGAGCCCATGGACCTGGGTGAGCAGGAGGTGGGGAGGAGCAAGGATGAAGCCACAGACAACGCTCAGCCTGGGGTGGAAGCTTGTCCCATTGAAGGTCTGGTGCCAGCAGAAGCGACGCTGGAAGAGGGTGTTGTCCAAGGGTGTTTGGTTGTAGACCATAAAGCAGCGGGAGATGCAGCCAGGCCTGGGGAAGAGATGCTGGAAGGAGAAGAACTGGGGACAACCTCTATAGCGGGTGCAGGACAGGGACCTGCAAGGGAAGAGGCCCAGAATTCCTCTTCGATGGAGATCCTGGTGCCTGTTAAAGATGGAACAGAAGAGAAAGTGGGAAACAGCCCCAGGGACAAGCCAGGAGCTGGGAATGGCTGGAAAGGACACCAGGAAGAGGATGGAGAGCTTGGAGAAGAGAGGGTGCAAATTGCTTCAGCTCCTGAAGGGCCCTCAAAGGATGGACCTGGAGAGGAGACGGGTGGTTTGGAGGCTCGTGGAGCAATGCCAGAGCCCCAGGAGGCCCTCGGTGGGAATGTAAAGGCCATAAAAAGCGTGAGGTTCAATGTTGTCCTTGTCCGTGCCTCTTCCCAGGCACGGGCAGTGTGGGAAGTGGATCCATCCATCGCAACAAAGCATGGAGAGGAGCACCCTGCGGATGGACAAGGTCCAAGTGTGCTCCCTGCAGCAGCACAGCCTTTGCCTGAGGAAGCCCAGGAGGTGAGACGCTTGCAGGTGATGTGGCCATGGGAAGATGACCCCTTTGCATGGGCTCCCAGGTTGGGGTTTTGGGTTGTCTGAGCTCAGAGCTGTTGTTCCCAGATGCAGGAACCTGCCTGGCTCCAAGGGATGGTCAAGGAACCCCCCAGGTTTGGGGAGTTTGGGGAGGACGTGACCACCACCAGAACCATCGGCAAGGCCGGGATGAGGGATGAGATGATGCGCTCTGCTCGGTGAGCGACGTGGCAGCAGAGGGGCCACCAGGCATCTTCCACCCATTTCTGGCTGGAGCAGGGGCAAAGGGGAGAGGGTGCAGGAGATGGGGTTCCATGAGGGGCTCCTTGTGGAGCACAAGTGCTTGATCTCCAGGCTTGGAAACCCATCTGGCTCCATAGTTGGGGTCTAGTCCAGCAGGAGACCATGAGCAAGCCCTTCCCTGCACCCTCAGGGCTCTGCAGTGGGGACACATGAGGAGCCAAAATGTTGCCCAGCAGCACCTTAAGGAAAGAAGAGGGAAAGATCTTCCCCCATAAGCTCTTGTGTCACCCAAGGAGAGTAGGAAAGGCTGAATGGGGAGATGCCAGCTTGGTCATGGTCTAGCGCGAGGTGTCCCTGCCCATGGCAGGGGGTTGGAACTGGATGATCTTAAGGTCCTTCCCAACCCATTCTATGGAGAAGCAGTTTATGAGCGTGGCCACCACGCGCCCAATGTTGTTGGAGAAAGTCTTCTCCATGGTGCTCACCAAGGCTGAGCTGCTCCCTTCCTTCAGCCATGCTGGGACATAGGGAGGTGCCTCCAGGGCCACCCTCAGCCCCGTCTCACCCCACACCTTCAGGCGCCAGGAGCTCCATGAGCTGCGGGTGCTGCAGAAGGAGGAGCAGCGAGCTCGGAGCCGCCTGGAGCACAAGTTCCACCACCAGCGGGAGCAGATGTTCCGCCACATCGAGCAGGAGATGATGGTAACGGCTCCATCGTCATCCCTTGGTGCCACGACGTGGTCAGAAAGGGACACGTGCTGGGAGACGTCAAGGTCTGGGGGGGTTTGGTTGCTTCTTGAGGTCCCTGCAGCCCCGTTGGCCATATCTGCATATGGTTATAGAGCAAGAAGGAGTTCTATGACCGGGAGGTGGAGACCTTGGAGCGGCGACACCGGCACCTGAAGGAGCAGCAGGAGCTCAAGTACACGGTGAAGCTGCGTGATGAGGCCAAACGCCTCAAGTCCCTCCAGGAGAAGGGCTGTGGGAGGAGGATGCAGGAGCTGAAGAGGGATGGGAAAGAGGTGAGAGTCTGGGGCAGCTCTGGCTCCTCTGGCTGTGGCACCCTGAGCACGGGGACCGGCTCCCCTGGGTGCTGGGGCCAAGTCCTCCCATTGCTCACCACAGGAGCAGCGGTTCCTGCAGCAGCAGCAGGAGGAGCTCAACGCAGCCCTGCAGAAGGTGGTCCAGGAGCACAAGAAGAAGATGCTCTCCATCGACTGGGAGTGCATCAGCAGGATCCACAGCCTCCGGAGAGGTGGGTTGGGCTGGGAGGAGGAGGAGGATGGTGGCTTCTTAGGGAGGGGACCAGGGGGGCTGGTTGGGGGGTGGTTCCTGATGGTGCTTGGTCTCACCCATCAGCCCGGGAGTCCGTGGTGTGGAGCATGGAGCAGGGGCACCTGCAGGAGAAGTACCAGCTCTTCAGGCAGCAGGTGAAGGAGCAGCACGCGGCGCAGAGGCTGCAGCTCCGCAAGCGCCATGAGAAGGTGAGGTGGGAGCTGCTCCACCAGCCCCATGGGGTCCCCCGTCCCTCTCCGGGCTCATCCTCCTGCCCCTTTCCCAGGAGATGGAGAGGATGAACCGCTTCCACCAGCTCTTGCTGGAGGAGCTGAGGAGCCAGGAGGCGCAGGAGCGGGCTCAGCCGCTCAAAAGCCAGCGCTGCGCCACCAAAACCCGCCTGGCCCTCTTCAAGGACAACCTGAAGATGCAGGAGGCTCATGGGGGCAAGCAGAGGGAGAGGACCAAGCAGGTACAAGGACCTTGTGGAGCCAGTGAGCTTCCCCAGCCCAAAGTATGGGCAGAGCAACCCAAAAGCTCCAAGTGGTGGCTTTTAGGTGCTGGAGGGTGATGGGGGCTGTCGCCTACCACAGTTTGTGCAGCAGGAGGAGAGGTGGCAGCAGCTACAGCAGCAGCAGGCTGAGAACCTGGCAGAGCTGGAGCAGATGCAGGTACAGGGGGGAAATGTCCACCCTGGGGGCTTCCCACCCCTTTGCTACCTCTCCTTGAGGACCTTCCTGCCCTTCCCTCTCCCAGCGTGAGAAGATGCATCTCTTGGCCGAGCAGGAGCGGCGGCAGCTGGGGTGGCTGGACCAGGAGCATGCTATGGAGCTCGGTGCGTGGAGGCAGCGGCTGGCAGCCCGCATGGAGGTGAGTGCTCCTGCAGCATCTCCTCCGTGGGATGCTCCTGAGGGATGGCTGCGATGCTGGGAACGGGCCATGGCAGCGCCTCTTGTCTTCTCCAGGTGCTGGAGGAGGAACTGGGGAACGCGCTGCTGGAGCTGCACGGCACCCACAGCAGCACCGGGATCACCCGCTGCTTCCACCTCCCCTCCTGACACTGCTGCAGAGCACAGGGGAGTGAGAGCTCCAGGAAATACAGCCGTTGTTAACAGAAGTCCCCATTTGTGACTATCTTACTTAAAACCTCTCACCATGTGTCCCACCAGCGTGTCCTGTGCCCCTGACCTGCTCCTCATGGGCCAGCCCTCAAGGGGTGGCTGAGCGGTAGACTTGGCAGCCCTGGTTGGACTTAAAGGTCTTTTCCAGCCTGGTTGATTCCATGATGATTCTATTCTGTGGGGGTCCCATCCTCAGCCTCAGGCCCTGAGATGCCCTCAGAGGCAGAGTTGGCAGCACCAGCTCTGAGCCTTTCCCCACCCACCTCATCAGGGCCCCAGAGGCACTAATAAGCTCCAATGGCTTTGAGGAGCCTCATGAGGGGCCCTGATCCACACCCATGGCCCAGGAGCTTCACCAGAGCTCAGCTCAAGGGCTTCAGTCCCTGCCTAAGCTGTGCTTGGAGCACTGGTCTCCTGCCTCATTGCCCAGCCCTGACCTTCAGGCTCACTTCTCTGCTTGATCTCAGACCTGCCTCAGCACCAGGAGCTTGTGGGGTGAGCTCAGCTCTTGGTTGAACCTGGCCCCCAGCTCCAGCTTCATCCTGCTCACATTATTCAGGTGCTGGAGGACTGAGTCCTGGCTGGCGATGCTCCCTCACTGCTCCCCAGCACTCTGCTGTGTTGTTTTAACCTCCCCCCTGTTTTGGAGACTCCTCCTTCCCCACCTCAAAGGCCCATCTACAAAGTCTGTAGCAATTTATTTATTACCTTTAAGCTCAGTATAAAAAGTAAATCGTTTTCTGGGATGAACAGGGCTACAGGGGGAGCTGGAGACATGGTAACAGTACATTGAGTGACACAGAGGAGCCTTTTGGTTCACAGTGAGATGGAGGAACTTCACTACCCAGACCCAGGAAAGAACTGGTGGAATGAAGATAGCAGAGCTGCAACTGTCCATCTGTATGGGTCCTAAGTTTAGGTAGGACATCCTTGATTTAAACTCTTCCTGAGGTGCAGAGACCAGTGGGGTTTCACAGCAATGGTGCTGGAGGAGAACAACCTACCCCTGATGAGGGAGTCCAGAGAGCACCAGTCAGCTGAGGAGCTGACTCAGCACAGGGCTCGGTTGGCTTGTTCCACCAGGACATCAGACAGGTCCTCTGTGCCCTCCAGCTTCAGATTCTGGGAACAGAAAAGCCAAATTCAACACAGCCAAACTCTTCCCCACTGAGTCTGACAAACAGCCACATGCTGAAGGGTCAGAGCAACCCCAGCCCCTCCTGTCCCCATCAGCACACACAAGACTGAAGCCTCCCACCGGCTGGTGGAGACTGAAATGCTCCCAGTGTGCTCACCCCTCTGCTTCCAGAGCCAAGGACAAGGAGTGACAGACAGCAGTTAGGCTGGAAATGCTGCAAGTGCTTAACCACAGGTATCAGCCTGATTTATGTTCACTAGAAGCATGAAACCAGGACTTGAGAAATCCTGATGGAGCAAGAAAGTGGCTTTTCTCCTACATCGCCTGTGTCCACACTGCACTTACCTTCTCGTTTGCCAGATGCAAGAGGCAGGCAAAGGCTAAGGGGATGGACAGGTTTTTAGCCATCCCAGAAGGCAGCCTATGGAAGAGAAGGAAAAGGTTAGGATGGCCAGAGCCTACTGCAACCCGATGGATGGAGCGTGCCTGCAAGGATCAGGTCACCAGAGACCAGCTCCTCCCCAGGGATCTGGCTTTTCCCTCCCTTTCCCCTCCCGCTAACACCACTTTTCCCCAGCTGAATGCAAGCCAAGAGCTCCCCCAGACTTCAGGTAGGTTGTTACAGACACAGAGGGGTTGGTGTTTGCCTGAGCTCAGCTCAAGAGTCTGTCCCTCATCTTCAGCCCAGCCTTTTTTAGGGCCTCTACCTGTGAAACAGATCCTTTGTGATGCTGCTGAAGACCTTCTTTCCTCCTACCACTGAGGCATCCTCTTCTTTCTCTGCATCCTCCATCTATTTAGCAAAAAGATGCTGCTGAGACACACTTTCCTTGCCAGTATTCACCTTGTGTTCAGAAAGAAACCACTCCCAGTTACACTCTGTCTCTCCTTACTGGCCATCCCATAGGAGCAAGACTACTAGAAAGGAACTGCTGCTCAACCTGCAGGAGTTTAAGCTCAGTTACCTGCAGGGCTTCTCTTGTCATCAGGCCTATTGAGGGATCTGGCTCTCCCTGCACTCACCTCTGCTGCTGCTGCTGTTTCTTTCTCTCTTCCATCAGTCAAGAGGTTCCACATGTTCTTCTTCAATGTCTTCATGTCCATTTTCTTGGCTGTCTTTGCATACTGAATTGCTATCTTGTTGACCTGAGGAGCAGAAGTCCAGGGTGAATTGAGAGCAACTGAGCAGAAGCAGGAGCATTGTCCTCAATCAGGACCACAGGAACAATCAGAACATGGTTCTCCTTGGGAAGAACAGTGAATGTTCTCTTCCTGCTATAAACCTTTGATGAATTCCCTCCTCTTACACAAGGGTTCATCTGGGCACAAAGCATCCAGGAGCTCCTGCACCAGGGAAACTGGTATCTCAGGACTTCCAATCACCTGAGGTGGTGAAGTCTTAAGCACCCTCCAGGCTTCTCCCTATGAGCAATTCACTCAGTGACAACACCAGTCTTTACCTTCTGGGGCTCAGCAACGAGGTTCAGCTCTCCATATGTTGTGAGATCAACAAGCCTGTTGAGCTCAGCTTCTGGAACCTCAGGGTGGACAGTAAGGTTGAACTCCCCTGTCGGGCCCATGAATTGAACTGGGTCATTATCATCATCACTGTCTGCAGCCTGATGAAGAAAGAGCAGTGAGGCCACAGAGACATCTCTGAGGAGCCAGAGATGTCCTGTGCTGAGATAACACCACCCTCTCAGACTGGTGGTGATACCTGCCCACTTTCCCCATGGAATATGTTCTTATTCAGCTTCTCCCCACAGGGCTTAGGCTAAACATGAGGGAGAGGTAGAGTGCAGACTGTTCTACAAGGAAAGATGACAGAGATGAAGGGTTTTCCTGCAAGTGTGGGACCAGTTGGGACTTGTCCCACAGTCTCAGCACCACAAATGCACTCAGGAAGCAGCAGTGGCCTGGTCAAAAGCTGAAGCTTGAGAAGAAATCTCTTTCAGTGGTAGCTCAAAACAGTTGGGAGCAAACCTCACTGTGTGGAGATGACTCTGAAGGTGAGCAATGGCATTTGGTCCTGCTTTAGGGCACTGGAATGGAGTTTCTGCAGCAAACTGACTGGCAAACACCAAGGGCAGAGAGTTTAGTTGATGTCATTGGTGAGGGGACACAGGTGTGTGCAGAGACTCCTGCAGCTCCAATTCTTTTTCACTAACAATTCATGCTGGACATAGCTTCTTCCCAAGAGATTCACCATCAAATATAGGCACCAGAAAGAAAGCTTCTTGTTCCAGTTACCTGCAATGCAGGGCAGAAGTTGGAGGTGTCGTTGGGGTTGTTGTAGTCGTACTTGCCGATCTCTTCTTCGTGATCCAAGGAGCTTTCTGGCTGAGGCATCCTGCAGAGCTACCAGGACAAGAGCAGGGGTCAGCAAAGGAAAAACTCTAAGTATTGTTCTTTCTTCATCACCTCCCCTTTTCCCAGCCTGTTGGCTCTTCCTCCTCCTCACACGCCAGCCCTCTAGCAAGCCCCCAGCTATAAGCATCCACAAGCGCGTGGCAGTTCACTGAGAGACAGGGTGGCTCTTCTCCAGCCCTGAGGAGCATCCCAAAGCACTTCAAGCAGCTGGTGGAGAGTGGTTTTGTGCACGGAACTGTTGCCGACAGGCTTTTAGAGAAGCCTCTTACCTTAAAAGCTGGTTTGAGGTACAGCTGGAGAATGGTGTTAGGGTCATAGTTGAAGTCTGTGGGAAGTGTGGTGCTCTTCATGTTCTGGCTTTCCAGAATGGATTTGGCTAGAGTTATAGATGCCTGGGGGAGATAATAAATGCCATTGCCCATGAGCTATCCACTACTCACAAACACACAATAAGTGCTTTGAACACAGGTCTTTGTCTGTGTTAGGGAAGAAGCAGACTAAACCACACAATGTTCTAACTCTAAGTGATTAGTTCTATTTAAAACTTACTTCTTTAAGCTAAATAATTAATATGTCAGTCTGAAAGGGGGCAAGTTCTAAGATGTGGGCAAGGAGGACTCCACACTGGTCCAGCTGGTGCACCCAGTGGTTTCTGTGCAGCACACTGGAACATGGAGCTGGATCCATGGGGTCTTTTTAACTGACGGAGTATAAGCCAGGAGGAATCCAGCCTGATTCTCCACCCTACAGTGGGTGAACCCCATAACTTGTAAGGTGACCTGGAGTCAGAAGACTTGAAGGTTACAGAGCCAGGTTCACAGGAGCCCTTTGCAGATGGCAGTTGCCAGCCACGCTGATATGGTAAAAGAGAGAGCAGAAAGAGGCAGAAATTCAGCACGTGCCTTGGTCTTACGGAAATACACCTCAAAGTCAGTATCTTCATCAAAGTCTATCTCAAACGCTCTCTTTGCATTCCTTTTCCTGGTCTCTTTTTCAGATTCAGCCTCTGCAGCAGAAAGGAAGGAAACTGTCAGTGCTTTGTGACAGAGTAGAACCACAAGCTCACTCCTAATTTGAGCATCTGCTCCACACAGAAAGGTCACCTACAAGGGCTTTCCTCTTTGTTGTGGGCAAGCAACAAGTGATGTTCTCAGCTTCACGTTTTAAAGGGATTGGTATCTTTTTATAGAAGCAGAAAGTGTAATTTAATCTTCAGGGTTTATGGAGGAGGTGGGAAACAACAGCAGGAGCTGTATTAATGCTGGTACCTCCTGTTGCTGCAGTGAGACACCCCCTCAACTTTGAGCATCATTAACAAACCCAAACACTAGAGAACGCTTCAGAAGGATCGACATGTGGCTGGGTGCCTTTATGGTGTCTGAACTCCATCCTGCTTCCCAGCTGGCTAGAGAAGAGCCAGGCAGGCTTGTACCCTTCTTTACGAGTCAGATGCTGCCCATCTCCAAAGGGAAGCAGGACCTGGCAGCACATGAGCTGCTGTCTCCACATACATACGCTTGTGCCGAGGTTTGAAGCGCCAGTGATCCGGGCCAGCCCACGTCGACAGAGTCCGGGGACTGAAGTAGGAATATTCCCCTGGCTTCATGGAGACATAATGGCACATGGTCCTGACGTCTCCCGATCCAAAAGAAGCTGTGTCAGTTCTGGAAAGAGCACACGTGCTGCTGAGTGAAATCATTCCTTTGGCACACGCAGGGCCTGAGTGTGCAGTCAATATGCAGGTCAGCTCTGTAAGGGCATCGCCTGCTCCCTCTGTGCAGGACTCTAATCTATGGAGTCCCTGAGGCTGCTGCAGAAACAGAGGTGGATTTGCAAAAGGGCAGTGGGGAGCAGAGGGAGCAGACAAGCAATCAAATGTGACCACACAAAAAGGTCCTCTTAGAGAGCAGAGATATTACTGTAACGTATACCTGGATGTACCCAAAGCTTGCAGAGAAAGCAGCTATAGCCAGGTGGGAAACATGTACACAGGAACGAAAGATTCCCCAGAGAGCTGCCAGCAGTTGTCACTTTGCTCTCAAAGCAAAGCTGTAGATACTCAGGGACTACTTACCCCTTCCCCTGGCAAACTGTTCCAAAGGAGTTGAGCTTTTCTGTGAATTCCCCAATCTTATCTATCAGCGTATTCCTGGGGGAGTCAGAATTGAAGTCATCACCTGGCAGGATGGGAGCAGAGTCTTCTGTATCACTGTCGACCTCAGCGTTGATATCAAACACTTGGTCACTCTTCTTGAATTTGTCCAACAGGGCTGACACTGACTGTAGGAGAAGAAGGTGCTCAGGGAAAGCACAGGGTAGCAGTGGTCCTGCAGCACAACACCCCACTGCTCCCTGTATCTCAGAGGTCACTTTGGAGGCGAGCGTGGATACAAGCCAGGTATCCCACCCAGCCCACAGCTAACAAACATACCTCATCCTGGGATTCAGCATCCCACTTTGTAAACTGGAAACCAGCCAGTGAAGAGCAGATGGGGCGTTTTTCAGTGCACTGTGCTAGAAGGGCTAGAGACAGGAGAGCGAGGGGGAGAGATAAAACATAGGATGAAGGAACCAGCACCTCAAACAAGCACCAGACATGTAATCATTCTTAAAGTCTCATAGGTAGGCAGCTCTTCCTGCACGTTTTCAAGGCCAGGTTGGACACAGGGGCTTGGAGCAACCTGCTCTAGTGGAAGGCGTCCCTGCCTGTGGCAGGGGGTTGGAGCTGGAGGAGCTTTAAGCTCCCTTCCAACCCAAACCATTACAGGATTCTATAAGGTCAGTCCTTAACCTGGAGCACACTAATCTCAGCTGCAGCACAGCTCAGACCACCTACCCATGCTGTGTGACAGACCTGCTTTAGACCTGCAGTGATCTAACACCTACAAAGGTCCTGTTTTCCAGCAGTTTCACTAGCAGTGGTGCCAAGCAGTCAACAAGAGCATGAGTCAAGCTGGCTGAGACTAAAATGAGCACACTTGGGAGACGAAAAGGATGGAAAGGTCTGGATGGGCCCCTTTGCTTAGCAGTTACCACACTCACACTTTAGATCCATCACTTTCACAGGGCTGGTGTTTGGCAGCACGAGAGTCTCTGAGGAAGGGAGAGGGATGATCTCCGAGTTGAAGAGGAGCTCACAGCGGCAGTCCTGGGTACGCAGCCCAAGGAGGAAAACTCCAGCTGTGCTGCACTCATCGAACGATGCTGCTGTTTTCTGGAACATGGGATCGATCTACAGGTATGGAATAAAGCAGAGAATCAGGGAATGGAGTAGACGGAAGGGGTGAAGCAGGTTTCTGCAGGAGTTTTGTGGTTTAAGAGCAGCCGGTAACTCAGAACCCTGCTCATGGAGGGTTGGGGAGGACAATGGAAAGGGTGTAAATCCCACGGGTTGAGATAACAGCTCTCCAGTAACTAAGGTATAATACAAACCACTACTGCTACCGATAATAATGATAAAGGGAATAACAAGGGAAAAGGACACAACCGCTCACCACCCGCCGACTGATACCCAGCCCGACCCGAGCAGCGATCTGGGCCTTCCAGGTGACTCCCCCCAGTTTCTATACTGGGCACGATGTGCTGTGGTATGGAATACCCCTTTGGCCAGTTTGGGTCAGGTGTCCTGTCTCTGCTTCCTCCTGGCTTCCCCTCCTCCCTGGCAGAGCATGAGACTGAGAAAGTCCTTGCTCAGAGTAAACGTTACTGAGCAACAACTAAAACCATGGGTGTTATCAGCGTTGTTCCCAGACTGAAAGTCAAAACCACAGCCCTGCACCAGCTACTGAGAAGGAGAAAAATGGCTGTTACAGCTGAACCCCGGACAAGGAGACTTTGAAACACAGAGCTGAAGGGAGAACGACCCATGCATGTCAGGGTCATGTGGGGGCTGGTCTCTGCTCCCAAGGAACAAGGGATGGAACAAGAGGAAACGGCCTCAAGCTGCCCCAGGGCAGGTTTAGCTGGAGCTGAGGAACAATTCCTTGCCCAGAGGGTGCTCAGGCATTGGAACAAGCTGCCCAGGGCAGGGCTGGAGTCACCGTCCCTGCAAGTGTTCACAGCCCGTGTAGCCGAGGCCTCAGTGCCAGGGGTTAGTGGTGGCCTTGGCACTGCTGGGAATGGTTGGACTTGATCTTAAAGGTCTTTTCCAACCTGGTTGATTCCATGATTCCAAGTTTTTCAGCAAAGGGAGACCTCTCCCAGCTGCCTCACGCAGGAGGAACATCCATGACCAGACATACCCTTGCTCTAATAGCAGGATTCACAGATGTACACGTGAATGTTAGAGCCCAGGAGAGGGATGTACACTAAGAAACGAGAAGGATGAGGTGCCATCTCCTTTCCTCCCCCAGACCATGGCTGCTGCAGCAGCCCCCCTCCACCCACCTCACATCTGCGATTAGCCTCCGACACATTGATGTTGTTCAGGTTTGTCTCGATGGTTTTGAACGAGTGCTTCTTCTTTGCCTGAGCCCTCTTGGCAGCCCCAGGAGCTGGACTGTCTTCTAAGAGGAAAAGAAGAACAAGCTACACTCAGAGAACACACTGAAATACCCTACGGAGGGATAGCACAGCTTTTACTTCAGGTTGTAAGGCCAACACGCAAAACCCAGTGGGCATGAAGTTACCTGGTATCTATTAGCAGGATCCATCAATGTTTCAACTTAAACAGGGGAAGGTAAAGTTAGATCTAAGGAAGAAGTTCTTTACTGTGAGGGTGGTGAGGTGCTGGAACAGGTTGCCCAGAGAAGTGGTGAATGCTCCATCCCCGGCAGTGTTCAAGGCCAGGTTGGACAGAGCCTAGGGTGATGTGGTCCAGCATAAGGCATCCCTGGCTCTGGCAGGGGGTTGGAACTGGATGATCTTAAGGTCCTTTCCAACCCAAACCATTCTATGATTCACTGGTTGGATGCTGTGTTTCTTTTTAGGGACTATTTTATCTTCACAGCATGGGTTTTGTTTCAAAGCCTCTTTAGTGAGGCACTTCATTCTTAACGTTAGCCCACCTTTGGTTTACATTCAGATCTGATGGGTCCAGTGGTTGAATACAGGATTGAGTGACAGATTCAGGGTCTCAGCCCTCCCTGCTCAAGGGAGATGTACTCCGAGATGCACAAAGTGTTCCCAAATCCACACATGCTATGTAAGTACACCAACATTTCTCCTCCGTGCAGGTGGAACAGTACCAGCTCAACAGAAAAGAGCAAAAGGCACACCTTCTCCTGGGCTGTCCACGGACTTTTTGGGTGCTGGGTCCTTGCTCAAGCCTCCAAGCACTTTGTATGTGTCCGCATGAATCGCATCCACACGCACGGAGTAAATCTTGGCACTGGCATCAAGCGTGCCTGCTGCCATCTGCCAGGAGGGACAAAGAGCTGGGTTTTAGTTAGGAAGGAAGAAGCCTCCTCTGGAAGATGGGAAGCTGCAGACCTGAATGTTCCCCATTCCCTTCCTCCATTTCATCAAGAAGACAGCTAGCTCAGGGGTTCCTCCATGCTGCCATTTGCTCATTCACCCAAGAATCCAGGTGTCCCCCCTAGCATCAGACAACTATTGCAGTGAGGAAGTCTTTGTCCCAGCAAATTCTTATTCTGATCCACCTGGGATCAAAATTAGACTGGGAATTAACCACATTAACTTCCTTTCTTTTCCAGCCTTGTTTTGCTACTGGTTGTTATCAGCCACTATTTACCTCCGAAGCCTTACTTTTAAATAAGCTCTCCTTTTGAAGGACCATCACTGAAAGCCTTTAAATTCTGTGGTGCAAAAGGATTCCACACTGTGCTACCTCTAAAAGGTATTTCTAGTACCCAGCTGAGTTACCTTGGCCTTATTTGAGGTTTGTTATTGGCTAAACCTTAGGCTAAATGCCAGTTGGAAACAAAGCACCTCCACGACCAAAGATTCCTCTCACCTTGAAGTTGGTCAGTTCAGTATCCTTCTGTTTCAGGATGTCTGCCATGTAATCTATCAGGTGTAAGCCAAAGGCATTCTTCGTGGTGATTTTCTGAAACAAAGCACAGCTCAGAACTGATCCCTTGGCACATGATGTGCCCAGAGTGTCCCATCCCTCATCCTACGGGGCATCTCCAGCAGGATATGGCCACTTCCACTTCCTGCTTTGTTTCTGCTGGGGAGGCAGCAGCAGAAGCCCGTGGTTTGGCTCAGGGACATGGCTCAGAGGGCTTGGATGGAGACTAACCACAGGCTCAACGAGCTTAAACCCCCTCCCAAGCGCCCCTGTGACCGCTGCCAGCGGCGGGGCGAGAGGGGCCGGACCGGGAGCCCCGACTCACGTTCTCGGTGGAGAGCTTGATGCAGGTGCTGTAGTGATCCGCGATCTGGCTGTGGCTCCACTGCGGGCC